GGAAGGAAGGGAAGGAAGGGAAGGAAGGGAAAAAAAGTCATTTCATAAAAAAACCCAACTATTTTAAAAATTTAGCATCTTGAAATATTCTTTAAATACCTCATTTGTTTGCATTACAGAAGCCTCTTGCTGGTTGCAAGAAGGACTGACCAGAAACCAGAATTTGTATTGTCAAGTTGTACAATTTCTGTAACTAATGAAGTAAATCTGCTTAACTTATATCCTCCTACTAACATTAGCATTAGCACAACATTACTGCTGAGTGCATTTTTCATGACAGAGGATGACCAATAAGAGGAAAATATTTCAGCTTTAATTTCGACCTGAAAAATAATCATGCTGATTTCAAACATGAAACTAGTTTCGGTGAAAGTTTTCCATGCTAATTCTGTTATTCAGTATTTCTAGTTGTACAGGGCATTTCCAAGGAACAGTAACACTACTTTCAAAAAACATTTGATAAAATAGTCACGACCACTAGAAATAATGTAGGCAGACAACATAGTTTATCCTCCTACCTCAGAAAAAAAAAATTGTGAGGAAGTGCAAAGCTTCGCAGTGTATTACATTATACAACAAATCCCAGGGGACACGTAGAAGAAAGCGTAAGTTCTTACATCACTTCCATACCTGTGGTTTTGCAGGCAATAACACATCTCTCTTCTTCAAAGGGCCACTTTCAAGGATGGGATCTCTTTTCACAGCTCTAGCTCTCACCAATGCGTCTATGCTTTCTTGTAAAGTGGCATTTCTCTCTGGATCATTTTCTTCTCGGAATTTATTGTGCAATATATGAGCACAACTGTTTGCCTTCTGAACTGCTGAAATATTTGCAACATGTCAATGTTTATCTATATAATAATATAATAAATAAACTTTCAACTGTAAGTTGAAAGGGGCAAGAATCATCTTTATTTCTACATTTGATAATTCTGTTATGCTAGGTGCAACTAACAATGAACTTCTAAGCTCCACCATAATTTAAAAAAATAAAATAAAAACAGAAAAAAAAAAACACCTTTCCTGATTTTCTTAGACTGTTTCAATGAACAGCAGACTTTGGGTTTTGCGTGCATATACATATTTATATGTATATAGACACTTGAAAATACACATATATATGAAAATCATGGGAAAGCCTTTTGGTGGTAATTGCCATATGAGATCTAGACAGTGATAACAAAACATTCTTTTTCTTTGGCAGCAAGACACATGGAAATCAGTAGATGTTTGTCAGTATACTGTCTGTCTGGACTGCCAAAGATGAATTCACCTCATTGAATTCTTCTTGCCCTTACCTAGGGGTAGAAAGGAACACTTACTACTCTAGTAAAAACCAGTATGAGGTATGAGAAAGACACCCCATATTATATACATTATATAATAATGTAATATGCTTTAATGGCTTTCATGAGGTTTCAAAATACTTTAGGTGGTAAATTTATCTCACATCACCTTGCGAAAGAATAAAGCCCATTTCCTTTATATATGAAGCAAAAGAACAATAAAGTAAACCAATTCCCAAAGGTTGCATGGTGAACTAGTAGTGAAAAAAACCCAAAGTCTTCAGCTAAACCACCAGTTAACACGTCTCTAGGTACTGAAACTGTGATGACTGTGCGGAAGACAAACTCTAAGGAACTGGCAAGAATAAAACACAATCACCTCTTTCAAAAGTAGGGAAACTGAAAAAAAACAAGGAAATTCTGAGCCAAGGCTTCAGCCAAGGCCACTTTTCATTGTAAACAGTTAAACAATGATAGCTCTGTTGGAGTTTTGCTAACAGTCAGTGACTTTACATTCCAAAATAATATATTTATACAGTATAATCTAGGTAGGTATTTGGAAATATTCTGTATGCACCATTAATGTCAACTTGTAAACTGCCACTTAGGCATACACTGCAGAAAAACAATCCAAGTGTAGCCCACAGTAAAAGAAATGGACAAACCAAGAAGAATATGGTGATAATAATAATATAGTTTTAAAGAGGTACATAAACCCGCAGGTCTATCATCTCAAGAGACCAGCTGAACAAAAACGCAGAACAAGGCTGTGTGAATAGCCTTCCAACAAACAATATGTAACATACCACAAAACCAAACTACAGATGGTAAGTCAACTGATAAAAACGTATTTAACAATTCAAAATACAAACCAGTCAAGAGACTCCTGGCAGCTGGAGGTTTTCTAGGTTCTTGTCCATGCTGCCCGTTTAAAATGAGAGGCTTGTTTTCTCCTTTTGGGGATGTAAGCTGCTCAGTATTCCTTGGAGATTTACCCTGACATGCTGAAATACACTTCTTCACTTTTTTGGGTGTTTGTTTCTTTTCAAGCAGTGAATTCAGATCCTGCACCAAATATTTAGAATTTTAATTACTCTCTCTAAATCTGTTGTAATAATGAGAAGCAAATACAAGAGATTCTAAGTAGTTGCAACTTTTTTGGTGTGGTTTTGGTGGTAGTGATTATTCCCGATAGCTTGTTCGTGCAGAAGCTTCTTCGTATTATTAACTCAAATTGTACAGAAAAGGCTTGCATTTTTGTATATACAACTGACTCCAGCAAATTATCTGCTTACAGCATATTCAAAAAGAAATGGACACAAAAGCTACAGACAAAAAAAACACAAACCACAAATGCCCACGTGACTAGGGTAAGACAGAAAGACACTTCTTCCAATGCTAAGTCCAAACTTAAACACTTCTACCTCCTTTCCTGTTCCCTGGCAGTTAGCACTGTTACTGTTCCCTTAAGCAGTTCACACCAGTAAAAATAAAAACACAGCTCTTCCAGTTAGAACAATACTTTAAGGAAAATAAAATATCTTACGGCTATTTTATCAGTTGCTTTTATTCAAATTAAATATTGGTTTCATAATAGTTCAAGTTAAATAGGTTCTTACTTAGAAAAGATAATCTTGAAGGTAGGAACTGCAGCAGGAAACATGAATCAGAATTTTTCTATTATACCAACAACATGTTTTAAGACATCAGGTATCCCTAACAAAAGTCATTCCAAGGGCATAAAGCTTAAGTAACTCTTGTACCTACAACTTCTTCTGCCTGGACAATTCTGCACCCACCACCATGTGTGAGGATCAGACACTCATCACGAATCCTGATGACTAAAGCCCGCATCGCAAAGCAATAAACGTGTAACTTACACCAGTGTATAAAATGCCATTATTTCAGTCCTGAAAACGGCAAATGAATCAGGAACTGGTGCTTTGCTGCCACTATCACTACCAGTCCTCATTCTTCCAAGAGAGCCAATAAAAACAGGAACAGCATAAACAAGAACAGCAGCACATAGCTTCCGTATTTAGGATGCAACTCTATTTTACACCTCCATTATTTAGGAACATTAGAAACATATATTATATGTTAGAAAATATGGCCTTAAAAAAACCCCAAAAACCAACAGTAAGATATTCTGCCATTTCATGAACACGCAACACAGATTGCAGTCTCATATTTCACTACATCTTTTCTGCCTTAGCAAAAACAAAATGTTTTTTCCTACCTCAACTTGCAGCAAAATATCTATAATAGCATCAGAAACAGAAGAATCCACTTCTAGTTTGGCGGAACAAAGAGACAGCTGTCGAATGAGACTGCCCAGTTCCTTGTAGTGGGTAGGAATCTGCTGCTTTGTTTGATCTGTAAACTGACTGGCAAATGCCTGCAAGGCTCGTACAGCTCCTCTGTGTGCTGCCGCCAATCTGGATACTGCTCGAGACTGGAAAAAAGAAAAATAAATGCTTTCATAGCTACAGTTTCTATGAATACTGATACTATTCACAGAATTGTTGCCAAAACTTCAGAGAGAAGCACTCGGGCTTGGGACAATTCTGATGGATATGAGGCCATTTGTAAGACAAAACAAAACAAGCTTTTAAGTAATCTACTAAAGGTACTACACAACTGTACTCACATCAAGTATCATGCTAGCTTCAGATAAAATAGCCTGGTTAGAACATATCTGACGTTTCTACTACCTATGCTAACAGAGTACGGCAGTCATGGGCTTAACCCTCATGTGCAACAACTGCACAAACACAGAACATTCTCCATTCTCCAGTTTTTGTTACTAATAAAATACAAGTGATAGAAAAGCACAACAGAACAACGAGATAATATTGGCCAAACAGTAGGCATGACCTCAGCACTACCTTCCTGAGAGACGCTAGACAGAGGAGAAAATCAGAAAGGAGGCTGATGAAACTGCATGACACCAACAGGAACTTAAAAAAAAACAGTCAAGAGTAGAACACAGTGTTATTCAGAAAAGGAAATGGAATGAAGAGGAACAAGAAGCCACACAAAAGCAGAAGACCAACAGCCGCCTTCTCCAGTGTACCGTAGGCAGAGAAGAACTGAGGAGAAGAGAGAAGCGGCAAAGGCAGTATCGGACCAAGTGAGACATCCTTCTGTGAGAAGGAGATGAAAGGTGGAAGGCACAAAGAAAGTCTTCCTTCTGGAGTGAGCTCAGGTGTACCCTAGACAATCAAACTCAACTAGCCAGAAAACTTTCTGTCAATAAGTTAGGCACAGCCTGAAGGATAATTACATCTTACCTTTTTAGTATGTTTGATCTTATGAGGACTCAGCTTCTCTAAATCATCTTGAATTTCTTTTACCTGTTTACCAAGAAAGGAGGGGGAAGAGGGGAAAGTCAGTCAGAATTAGCTCGATGTCTACAAATGAGCAATTAATCTTCACCGTAACGTCTGAGTGAAAGTCCAAATTTTCCAACAGTGATGCTCATCTCTCCGTCCAGTCCCGGGAGAAATTAGTCACATCATTCAGATCTAAATTAGAATGCCACGGAAGTTCAGAGGTAACGCAATCGAATTTCTCTTGTTTCAGTTCGTTTCTGTTCAAGCTCACAACAAATGAGCTTCTATACACCTTGATTGAAAGTGCTGCTTCCTACCTGCTGCTGGAGCACATACAGCATCCGAGCTGACCGCGCAGCTTGTTTCTGTCTCCTGGCGCAAACTTCTTGTTCTTTGTCAGGATCTAAAATTACTCTCTCTCCCCCTAAAAAGCATGAAATGTAAAGTTTTATGTCTTAATTTAACCTGCGAAAATACTGATCAAGCCATGATACCAAACATAATCTAGCAGTAAGCCCCTTCACGCAGAACCAATACGCAACGTATCATATATGTTTTGCAGGGCTTCATGAGCAGTCATGCAAACCAGTCACTTTAACTCTACATGATGTTTCTATTTAGAATTTGACTAAACATTCTTATCCAATATAGCTTACTAGTTATAGCTTACAAAATCACGTGACTCAGTTTTAGACAAAGCTGCAGGTAAAGCACTCAAAGTTCAGAAGGGTTAAACCTCCGGCTAGTTATTACAAAAGAATCAACGCGGCATATACTGGGGCTGGCTGGGATGGGGTTAGTTTTCCTCACAGTCACCAATATGGTGCTGGTTTGGATTTAAGACTAAACAGTGTTGATAACACGCCAGCGTTCTGGCTGGTGCGGAGGAGTACTTGCACAGCAGAGGCTTTCTGTTTTTCAACAACGCCCTGCTGGCACATAGGCTGGGGTGTGCAAGAAGCAGGGAGGGGACATGGCCAGGACAGCTGACCCCAAACGATCACAGGGATATTCCATGCCATGCTTAGCAATTAAAAAAAAAAAAAAAAGGAGTTTTTCTGGGAGAAGGTAGCTATTGCTCACAGATTGGTTGGGCATTGCGTCTACCTGTGGAAGGCAGTGACATTGCCTTTGCTCACTTGTTTTGTTTTTTTCTTTCTTCTTCCTCTTTCCTTCCCTTACTAAACTGTCCTTATCTCAACCCATAAGTTTTCTTGCAGTTAATCTTTCCATTCTCTCACCCATGCCGCCAAGGGAGAAACGAGCACAAGCGTGTGGTGCTTTGCTGCCGACGAGTGTCGGAAAACACATCAATCGTGCTATTGCACAACCATAAATTAGGTGAGTCAGACTTCTGAAATGAAATTTTACCAGCTGTTGCCCCCTTTCTCATCACTGATAAGAATGTGGTTAATTATGACACTGTTTTTTTCAGTCTGAATACCCAGCCAATAGGCCTACAGACATCAATATTTTTTCACCCATTATCAAATAGCCTACCACTGATTTACTATCATTGCAGGCTGGATTGGAACTCATCACAAAGACGCAGAGATATGAAACCCTGTTGTTGATTAAACTGGCTACCCATTCTAGCTTTCATCTACTTTTGAAAAAAGTATGTGATTCTCAAAAATCCAGAACTAAACACGGATTCTAGTCCAAGCCAAAAACAGAAAGAAAAACAAAACAAACAAACTACTGTACATTTATATAACATAATTATTGTTCTATCTTACACCTTTTTTGGTAAGTTCTTCAATTTTCTGGACACAGCTCCTCAATTCCTTTTGCAGCCGTCTGACTTCCTGAATATTTTTATCTTCTTTTTTGTTTACATTTGGCTTGGGGTCCGGTCCTGTGTCATGGGTTGGTGGGGAGTCCAAACCAGCTGGTATTAGCTTTCCCCCATTTGGTGTGTAGAGATAAACTTTAGCACCAGAGGTGGTAGTCTCCACTTTGGAAGGCTGACTGACTTTCTGCTGGTATTTGATGCGAGGTTGAGACTTCAGTGCATTTTTATTTTCTAGACTTGGAAATACTTCAGTCTTCTGCTGCTGTGACTTCTGGGACAACAATGGTTTATTGACAGCATCTTCAAACACTTGCTGTTTCACTTGCTCTTCGAGATGTCTTCGTTTTATGTCCCTTTTGGCTAGCTGAATAGCCAATTTTAGTCTCTCTTCAGATATCACTGAAAACATGCCAGAGCTTCTTATGCCGGGGAACTCACTTCCAGCTACATTTCTCTGATCATTGGATGCCTTCAGTTTTTCTATTATAATTGGACAGGGGTTAGAGAATCTGAGAGCCAAATTCTCTGGATCTGCAGGAACATTTCTATTAAATTGGAGCTGTTCCAAAATGTGAAAAAAAAAAAAAAACAAACACAACAAAAACGCTGATGTTACATAGAACACTTTACACAGGTGATGTACCTTTAGTGTATAATTGTATGGAAAATGCATCTTCTTTCATACTAGAATGCATCCTGTCATGATGGTACTTCTTCAATGCATGCAAGGCATTCTGCCCACTCAAACGCCAGTATTCAAAATTATTTTGAATTAAACATTTAGATCATCTTGCAAATAACATTTGGCACTTATCCGCAACTTAGGGTGGGCACCTTAGGGAGGTTACTCACATTGAAAAACCTGCTCCAAAGTGACTGGTCAATGGACAAGGAACACCCTTATAAAGATTATTTGTTTTAAGAGTTCTCACAATTAAATTAATGAGTTATAACGACAATAAACATTAGTAACATAAATAGGCACGATTATATCATACTGATTTAGTAAGGCATTAGTAAATATACAAAGGTAACAGAAGGAGAAACGATGAAGACGATGCATGATGAAGGAGAAATGAAAAGCTGAAAAATGGTACCAGAATAAAGTTTCTAGGATCTGTTTCCATGTAGTAAAGTAAGAGGTTAAGAAAGTGTATTGCTTTAGACTGGGATAGGGTTAAATTTCTTCATAGTAGCTTGTATGATGCTATGTTTTGGATTTGTGATGAAAACACTGTTGATAGCACACCAATGTTTTAGTTATTGCTGAAGAGTGCTTACACAGCATCAAGGTCTTTCCTGCTTTTCACACTGCTCCACCAGCGAGTAGACTAGGGGTGGGCAAGAAGCTGGGAGGGGACACAGCTGGGACAGCTGACTCAACTGACCCACGGGATATCCCATATCATATGACATCATGCTCAGCACTAAGAGCTGGGGGGAATAAGGAGAAAGGGGGGGATGTTTGGAGTTATGGCGTTTGTCTTTCCAAGTCACCATTACATGTGATGAAGCTGGGGAAACAGCTAAACACCTGCCTGCTGATGGGATGTGGTGAATGAATTTCTTATTTTGCTTTGCTTGTGGGGCAGCTTTCGCTTTACCTACTGAACTGTCTTTATTTCAACACATGAGTTTTCACACTTTTACCTTCCAGTTCTCTTCCACATCACACTGGGGGAGAGTGAGTGAATGGCTGCATGCTTAGCTGCCTACTGGGATTAAACCAAACCAGACAGGTAAATAATATTTACAGATAGAGTTTCTGATCTACACTCTCACAAAAGGACAGTGTCAAGATTATGTATGACGGTAGCATGAAAGCAAGTACAAAGATTTGACACTCACTAGTGGGCTATCTCAAGAAGTGGGTCGTAATCATCTTTTTGTAACAATCACAAATGAAAACCAATTCAGCACCGCTGCAGAAGTCAAACAATACCTGTGTTTGTAAAGCCTTTGCCTCGTTCCTGCATAGCTGGCTAGTGAACACAAATGCCGCATCAGACATAGCTGGTTTGCTTGGTCCCATCACATCGGCTTGATGCTGGAAACACAGCTATTTGTCCTTTGCTTACAATTAAAACTATGAACATAAGAAGAACCATTATTTCTGCACCTCAAAAGCAATCCTAGGTGTGACAGAGAACCAACCTGCAGAGGCATGTGGAAATGGAAAACGTATCCTCTGTACTCGTACAGGTGGCACACAAAACAGAGAGTACAATCCCACTGTTCCAGGCAAAATTTACAATTTATATCCTTCTTTGACACACCCCCACTGAGAGCTGAGCTGCACCATCACAGACAAGCTCACGCTATGGACCACAAGACGACTGCCGCGAACTTTCAAAGATACTACTCACCTGAAAGGGAAACACTATATCGCGACATAAGAAAAAAAAAACAGAGCGGCGAGATAAGCTAAGGCAGTGCTCAGGCAGCCGGGTCTGCGCAAACAACGCCGGTGCCCGAGGAAAACTGAAGGGAGAGGAAGCTGCCTAAGCAATTGTCGTGGGTCAGGCCGCCGCAAGCGGTACAACACCCCCCCCCCCCCCCCCCCGCCTCTGACAGTCAGCGTACGAGCAGGATCCAACGCGTTCCGCTGTTAAAACGTTCTATCGCGACAGAGCGACAGGCTCTGCCTCTGCGCCGCAGCTCGGCTGCACGCGCCTCTCCGCCGGTCTC